GAGAAAGAGAGGGGGAGAGAGAGAGAGAGAAAACATCCTCCAATGGGGCATAGTCACATCACAATTCCTTTCCCTTCATTTCTCCATCCTGTCAGGATCTGGGACACTCATGCACCCATGGCTAGTGTGTTTCTCAAGCCACTAGGGCTGTAACCCTAACTATGTGGGATCTGGCTTCCCCAGCCACCAGGCCATGGAGCCAGATCATTGCTGTTTCTTGACCTGTATGCTAAGTCTATGGGTATTTTAAGTTTGCAGTGTTCATCAAAGCTGGACAACTGTTATTTGGTCACCTTTTGCTCTATATATTACTCTTTAACAATAGGGAGTATCTATGCGAAGACTGTTGAGCATCAGGACCAAAGCTTCAAATGATTTGGTCAGGAAAGACTTTTTCTCCTCTGTCCCCAATCATCCTCCAAATGCTTTGCAGCTATAGTTTCTGGCCCAACGAACTCACTGCTTGTCATTAGCAATGCCTTCCTAACAGCAATCTGGGACGCGAAGGCACCCTGCACTGGGTAACCTAGGAACAGAGCGCCATGTGAGAAAGCAGAAAGGGAGACTAGAGGATTGAGATCCGTTGCCTAGGCACAAGATAACAGTGATGCAGGACAGAGTCTTCAGTGAGCCAGAAGACAGCCCTAGGCTGGAAGCCCCAGTTCCCATTCATTCCTCAGAAGCAGATTTAGATATAAACTGCGAATCCTCCTGGGCTGTGGAAGCAACTAGGGCTTAAATCCTGGCCTTACTGCTGATTGCCCCAGTGACCTCTCATGCAGTTACTTAACTCCATTTTATTGCCAACAGGAAATTATCCCCACCTGCTTTGTAAGGCAGCCATAACATAGAAAATAACATTAGACTGTAAGCTCCCCAAGGGCAAGTACTTTGTTTATTGCTTTAGCTGCAGTTATAGAGTAGATACAGAATATACCTTTACTGAAAGAATGGTATATAGGGGACCAGCATGGTGGTTAAGGTGCTGGACATTCCCACATGGCTGACCATGGTTCAAGTCCTGGACCTGGTGGCTTGCTTTCTCGCCCCCCACCCCACCCCACCCCGTGTCTCTCTCTGGTCAAATTAAAATAAATAAATTAATGAATAAATAAAAATAACTCTTTAAAAAAGAGAGAATGGTATATAACTAGATGGCATAGCCCTAAGTAGGGACTCCCAAATAAAAGGTAATTTTTTTCACCAAAAGCTGAAATAGCAAAACCATCTTGATATCATACTGTCAGATTCCTTACTAAATTTTGACATTTCCTACCAAAGCTGATGATGGTTGGCTTTCAGTCTTACCCAAAGATCATCTAAGGGTCAGCTGAACCTGCTGAGGGGTCGTAATGAAACACTGATCTATTTTACTGCCATTAATCTGTCTCTCTTAATTGTTTGCCATTAAGGATGGGTTGACCACTGCAGATCACTCACTTTTCATCACTGCACAGATATCATGCAAATTCCCTCCTCCCACCTCTCTTTTGTCTTTGCTTCCAGAACACACTTGGAGGTAGATGGACCTCAGACTGTGGATGTGGGGTAGGGAGACCCTGTTCTACTTCCCTCCAGATTAACCTTTCACTTTTTGTTTAGTCAAAACCCCATTATCTGGACTTTATCCAAGAGACTGCATTTAAGTCAGTCCCCTATACAAAAATGTTTCTGGAAAACACTGCAATAAAAATAAATAAATGGGTGCTTGTTATTGGTGGCTATGGGGTTGAAGGCTCCAACATTCTACTTCTTCCCATCCATCTCCTTTCTGGCAGTAAAAAAAATGTCAGGGAACCTGGGAGTCAGAAAGGTCTACTCAAGCCCCAGCTGGTCACTGAAATGATGACTTTGGTGAAGCCACAACTATTAAGGTTTTATCTGTAAAATGAGCTGACCTTCCCCAAATTGTCATGATTCATGATTCAAATACCTACTGGGCATCTCAATAAGTACCAGATCCTGGCATATACCAAGTCGTAAAGTCATGTCCGTGACTCTCAAAGAAGTTCAAGAGCTGCTTAGCCTAGTGAGCTGAATCTATTAAGCTGTGCCTCCATTTCTCCACCTTTAAAACCTCTGGCAGGGCTAGGCTCTGGGGTTTCTGAAGTTCCAACTCTGAGATTAAGAGCTCAAGCTGTTTAATATTTACCTTACCTGCTTCAAGGGACTCTTAGGAGGATAAAGCAAGCTCAGAGTTGCAGAAGGACTTTGAAGAGGAAGATGCACATACAAACAAGGTACTAATTACACCAGATAATTACTTTGAGCTCAATTTCATAGACACCCTTGGTATTCATAACCCAGGGGCGAACAAGAGGGGCAATTGTTCCTTAGCAATATGGAAACTGTTGACTGGCCAAACTTGAATTTGTATGTACCTGGAGGATAACCCTTTCAACATGACTGGATCCAGGCTAAGAGGCTCCTGTGTTTAAATGATGCAGAACTGGGGTGGGGTGAAGAGGTAGAAAAGTATCAGCAGTTGAAAACCAAGGGGAGGAATATTTTGTTTGTTACGGAGGCCAAATTTATTGTGATAATTTGGGCCCCGAAAATTACTTTTACATAAAAAAGGTAGCTGCCCATTTCTCAGGAAGCCTATTCTATAAACCAATCATGATGCCAGAAGACTCAAGGTTAGCCAATCACAAGAACTTACTCTCTGGTTTATAACCCAGATGTACTATTGGCACAAACTTACAATTTTCACAACCATAAAAAGACATCCGAGAAAGCTGAATTTCCTCAAAAGGTTTAAAATGCCTGACGTCACCAGGAAGCACTCACCAACCCAACCATGAAATCGAAAACCTGATCACCGCTTCCCCTCAACAACCTCAAGCCTACTGAAGTGACAGCTAATCTGATATGTCTTGCTTCAGTAGTAAAGATAAGGCACAGACAACACTCAAAGCTGTTGCCTGCTCTCAGAGACTGTAGTAGAGAACTTGACAATGGGGGGAGGGATGCAGACTTGGCAGAGGTCTGGTTAGTAATAAAGCTTCCACAGGGAGCCGGAATTGGATTTGGGGCCATGCCCAAGTTAACATTTTTACAGGTTGGCTGAGTTGCAGTTTGTTAGCCAGCCAGTAATAAACCCATGCACAAGAATTTAAACTTTATGAGGCATGGCCTCTTAATGCCTCTCCTCAGCTCCCTACAGCCAAGGGTTTAAGGAGCCTGGTCTAGCCTGGGTGTTAAACTGTTTTGTCAATCTGCAGAGTTATTTGGGGGCAAAAAAAAAAAAAAGCTTCCATAGACTCAAGGACTCCTTTTTCTGAGAAACAAAGGGGAACCATTCTGTTCTCCGGGCATTGACACCCCCCATTCAAGCTGTAGGAATTTGTACCTAAGTTGAAGTGTTCCCAGGGTGAAGGGTATTTTCTAGCATTAGAAGAAAAATATTAGAGCAACAGGTTCTTAATGTTTACAAAGTCAGGTAAACTACAGATTCCCTCCTGGAAAAAGGAATATACAAGTGTTCAAACAATTTTAGTTTAAGAGCCTCTGAAACTTCCCCCAAGGATTTTGGTTACACCCCCATTTAAAAACTTTCCCTTGGGCAGTTGAGGAACCCCCACTGCTCTCCCCACTTTTAGGGAAAGCACCCACCCCCACCAGCTGGCAGCTGCCTGGGTCTCCTAACACACTGGTTCTCCCACCAAAGGGACCCCCAACTTTCAAGTTTTCGAACTTGAGTAGGAAAAAGAAGTAACTGGGAGATCAAAAATGTGCTTTGATCTCCCGTGGACCCACCCCGCAGCACAAGGCCTGCTGGATAGGGGCATTCCCCTCCCCTGTGACCAAGCATGCCAGTCCCAAGACGGTGTCCCCTTTGCCTGATGGCGCCTTCCCAGGTGTGCCAGAGACAGTTTCCAGGCAGGCTTCAGGGGCGCAGGCCCTCCGGGAAGGGCAGGGTTAAAAGTGCATTCCAGCTGCCCGGGAAGAAGGGGGCGCGGGGGAGGGGAGCTTGGAGAAGAGAAACAGACCCAGTCTGTCTGTCGGAGACACAAAGCACGGTTCACAAAGGGGGCCCGAGAGGGGTGAAGGGGGCTGCCCGGGGCACCGCTCATCCCCACACCTGCGCGGGGGTTGGGAAGGAATGTGGACAGTGCATTCCTACGCTGGGGCCAGCGTGGGGGAGCTTCCCACCTCGGGGCTGGACTAGGGGCTCGGCCGCCTGGCACCCGACAGGAGGGGGTCAACATAAGCCGCGGCTTGCGGGGCATGGAAGGGCCCGACGTCAGAGGGCGCTATGCCGTCCGGCCTTCTCTGTCAGCCACCTAACCCCAGTCCCAGCCCCCAAGACGCGTTCTGCACCTCCCCGGGACCCGCCACCAGAAGTCTACAGCTCCCGCCGAGGACCACGTGCGGTACCCGCCCCGCGGTTCCACCCAGACCGACTGCGGGAGGTTCTTACCTTTAACCGGCGCCTGGCCCAGCTTCAACTCCGCGCCTCCCGCCTCCAAGGTCACTTCAGCTTCCCGGTGGCCCGACTGGCACGGCTCGGAGGCCGCGCACCGGATCCAGAAAACCTGCGCCTGGGGGCAGAAGGGGAAAGAGGAAGGCTGGGTCACAGGCGCGCCTGGCCTGCATACCCCATCTCGGGGAGTCCTCAGGACCTCCGGCACTACCTGGTCCCTGTAAGAGTCCAGCCCCACACTCTCTCCGACGCCACCGCTGCGTGCGGACCCCGCCCGCCCTCCAGGGAGCAGTCCCGGCCGGGGCAAGGGCAAGCGCAAGGCAGTTAAGTACCTGGAGTAGGAAGAGGGAGCGGAGAAGGAGAGACGCGAGAGACCCACTAGGTAGACCCATGGGTAGAGAGAGGGGTGAAGAGGCTGTCGCGACGACTGGGTAGCGCTCCGTTAGGCTCTCGGCGCCTGTTTGAGCACCGCGGCTGGCAGAAGCAAGCGGGAGGGGGCCAGGTGAGCGCAGGTAGGTGCCGATTGGCCCAGCACTGCGAGGTCCCACCCCCTCGCAGGTGGGGCCGCCGCCGGCGTGGTTGAGGTTTCGCGAAGCCCCTCCTGGCCCGCGTTCTCTAGGCTTTTTTGGAGCCGCTTCTGTGAGAGACTTGGTCTCTGTCTCGCAGGTTCTGGGTTCGAGGGAAAAAAGAAACCCACTTCAATCCTCAGCTTCCTCAGCATGGTAAGAGAAATGTTTCCTTGCCTTGCAGCCACAGCGAGAAAAAAAAAATGTAGAGATGAATGTGAACCTGACTGAAAAACAGAGGCTCTCCATTCATGCTCTCCGGAGGCGCTCTGTTTTTCCAAACCTTTGTTGGAGGCCGGGTGTGCCCTCATTCCCCGGCTATAGCGGGGACCGCCCTTTGCTTCTTTCTCCACTTCCCATGCCAACCAGCCAGGAGGACCTGGGGTTCAAAACCGGCAGTGAGGACCCTAGGGACCCCGTTACAGAATCTACACAGCTATCTCAAGAATCATTATCTCTGTTGCATAGATGCAAGAATCATTATCTCTGTTGCATAGATGAACAAATGGAGGCTGCCAGAGAAGGTCTTAGAGTTTGGAAGTCCTAGCGGCTCCAAAAGGCACTAGGCGGGAGGATGGTTATTATTCCCATAACCTTTGGTGTTTCCCCAAGTATAAATAATCAATGCTTTCTCATTTCTATGTAAAATTGAAATAAAGGTAATTTTTAAACGAATTTTATTTATCAGCCTGAAATACTGCTATAAGCAAAAACTGATTGCTGTGCAAAGCTAACTTCCAGTGATTCTTTTGAAAACAGCTCTCCTACACTCTTCCTGGGAGACAAATGGCTAAACTGGGACTCATTCCTCTGTTACTCTCACTCGGCTACATTAGACATGAAGGGCTTTCCTCCTCATGGCACACAGTGGGCCCTGGGACTGGCAAGTGCCTCAGTCACTCCCCACAGCACACTTCCCCACAGGAGCTCAACTTCCCAGGCAAGTCCCATTCCCTTGTTCCCTAAGCCCTCCCCCACCTTCTGCTACTTTGAGAACCCCTATGGGGTCTCCTTGTCCCTCTCCCTGCCCCTCAATTTAGATTTAGGAGTGTGAGAAGGGAACTGGGGTCTTTAATTAGTTTTTAGTCTTCAAGGGGCTAGTAACCTATGGGTCTTTTCAACTACAAGGCCTAGGTAGTGAATGGCTTGAGCTGGGATCATGGCAGCTCGTGGCCCTTACCACCTGGGTTCAAAGCCGGGTTCAACCACTTACCAGAGCTGTAGCCTTAGGCAAGTGAAATAACCCCTTTGGGCCTCAGTTCATCATCTGTCAAATGGGACTATTATGACACCTGCCCTCTAAAGCACTCGGATTAAATGTAGACAAGGATTAAATTGATGAGTACCTAGCACAGAGCAAATACCCAAATGATTGGGTATTATTGCTCTAGGATCCAGCTTCATGGGGCCGGGAGAGCTGCTTCTCTCCCGCCTGGCACTCCTACAGCCCCTAAGACAGAGAATGAGAAGCGAGATCCTACAATTTCATGCCTGTGGGGGAAGTGAGCAGTTGGCATCTGGTATCTCAGGAGTGTTGGTAGTCCCAACAGCTGGGCGTGAGTGTAGACAACTCTCAGGAAAAGCCACAGGAAGCTGGCTGAGCTTAGTGTCTCGCTCTCCAGGCTCTGGAGCAGGGGAGCTGTCCACGCCCGCGGAGGTTATAAGCCCGCACCCACGCAGCGCAAGACCGGACAGGGTGGCCAGGCCTCGCATTTTCCCTGTGCCTGCCAGGAGCCAGACGAAGCCATTAGGCGGACAGTTAAACACAAACGAGCCTCGAGTGCAGGCTCTAATTAAGTAAACACCCGGCTGGAGGGCTGTTGAGCACGCTCATTTCCGCCTCCTTCCCTGGCGCTCAGCATTTTGGGCGGGAGCAGAGAGAGAAGGGGAGAAATTGAGAGTCAGCTTTTCTGTATGCAGCTTGAATCACATCTCAGCCTTTCCGTTAGCTCTTGTTGGTAGTTCATTCATTCATTCATTTAACAAATATTTGCTGACAGCCAGCTATGTGCCAAGCATTGGGGGTGCAACAGTGAACAAAATAGCCAAACATCTCTGCACCCTTGGATCTGCCGTCCTGGAGTGTGGGAACCCACAAAATAAATATCTATACTATGTTAGATGGTCCTATGTGCTGGGTAAAAGAACAAGGACATAATAGGAAGTGCAGACTCACTGGACAGGAGGGGTTGGAAACTGTAAATGCAGTGATTCAGAAGGTGTTTCAGTTAAGGTCTAGCAGGAAATGTAGAATCCAGCTAAGGTAAACCGGCAGGTGACGTGCTGGTAAAGGGCACTGGACTCCCACATGGCCAACCACGGTTAAGAGTCCCAGACCTGGCAGCCTGCTTTCTCATTTTTCCCTTTCTCTCTCTCTCTGGTAAAATAAAAATAAAATTAATTAATTAGTTAAATATTTATTTAACAAAAAAATTCTTTTTTTTTTTGAGAGGTTTTTGCTATAGGGCGCATGCGCTCGCCACACAGACAGAGAGAGAGAGAGAGAAACAGAGACAGAGACAGAGACAGAAAGCGAGAAATCACCCCCCAGGGGAGATGGCCATGCCACAATCCCTTCTCCTCCATTCTCCTCTCGAGATCTTGTGCACACACGCACACGTGCCCAGCGTGAGTTTTAAGCCACCGGGTCTGGGACGCGAACTGCGGTCGACTACGTGGGAGTCCAGCAACATAGCCATTATGCTAACTGCTAGTCCCAAACCAAAAAATTCTTTAAAAAAAATAATCCAGCTCAGGTCATTCAAGATTTAAGAAAGGACTAGAGGTTCCAGTAGGTGGCATGGTGGTTAAGGGCACTAGACTCCCGCATGACCGATTATGGTTTGACTCCCAGACCTGGCAGCTTGCTTGCTCACCTTCTCTCTCTTGTCAAATTCAAAATAAATGAACAAATAAATAAATACAAATAAATCTTTGAAAAAAAAGAAATGACTATGGTTTGACCAGCAGTGCACGGATTAAACACCACCTAGGCTCTATGAGGCAATGCCACAAGGGAGGCCTAAGTACACTAGGCATTCACTTGTGCATGATCAGAGGTTGGCTGAAAGTTGAGTCTGGATCTCTGCTATGGAGACCCTATTGGGAGTTCTTTCCCCCTCTCTGAAGAAATAACACACACACACACACACACACACACACACACGGAGAGAGAGAGAAGGGACTAGAGGAATGGGCAGGATTCAGGGAACCTATAGGAGAATTGAGGCACTAGATACCAACAATAGTAGAAAGGTGTGACTACTTTGAGAACTGAAGGGCCAAGAGAGGAAATGGTATTACTCAAAGTTCAAGGATGGGTCACAAGGAGCTGAAGAATCGGAATTCCCTTCCCAAATACAGCTGTGTTTGAGGAAGGCATGGCTGCTGGTGGGTGCCAGGAAAAAACACCCAACATCTCTTTCCTCTTGCCCTTTAATCTCCTGGTATGTCCACCATCCACCCAGAAGCCTGAAGGCAAGAAAACCTAAGTGATGTGGTCTGTGGGGGTCATTCTTCTTAAATATAGTATAGGGCACAGAATGCCAGAAATGGATGGTAGTGGGTAGGGGAGCTAACAAGAAAGTCCAGAGGCTTTACTGGGGTAGGGACGTGCAAAGACGTGATAGAAGTGAAGGAGCAAGCTGTAGCTAAGGACATCTAGGGAGAGAGTATTCCAGGCACAGGAAACAGGGCAAAAGTCCCGAAGCAGTAGAATACTTAGAAGAATTAATAAAAAAATTAGTTTGACTGAATTAAAGTGAACAACTAGGAATTGAGTTAAATGAGTTTGGGAGGGTAGGGAGCAAGTCTCATAGAGCCCTGCAGGCCACTGGAAGAACTTTGGCTTTCACTCTGAGTGGGAGGGGAGGAAGCCACTATTGATTTTTCTTATCCAATTTAGATTGCCCAATTACAAAATCATTAATTTGAAAGGTTATGGCTTCGGGAAAACTTTTAATTTAATTTGGAGGAACTTATTTCTTATTCTGAGGTTGCTCAGCATGACAG